GAACAAAAGTTCGTACCATGAACTGAAGTATGAGCTAAACGACTAACACGAAATTTTACGGTATAAGTGCAACAGCATTGGTGAGACAAATTTTGTTACGTAGTTTGTTGGTGTTGTTGACATGGCTGTCACCGTCAGTGATTTATCCGACTCCACTGAAGCTGTGGATCGTTGCTTACCAGCTCTCTAGATTATGCGCAATATCCGTCACGAAGTCTTTATATAGTTTCCACCTATACATCACCACCCAGACGAAACGTGAACTCTGAAATTATCTTACCAGGTCGCAACTTGTCCTTCTGTTTTCTGGTGCCTTCTAGGGACCAAGGTTGCGTTGAGTGTAATGTAAATTATATAATCTGGTACACGTCACAACAGTAACTTTCCAAGCACAATCGTTAATTCATGAAGAGAACTGGAGAATGTTGGAACAGTCACGGATTATCGCTTTAAATATATTGTCCATAAACCATGGGCGCAGTGATTCTTAAACCCCGCAGTGGATTCTAGTGTTGTCATATCTTCGACATTTAGGGCCTAAATCTGACTAAAAATATTAAATCCTTAAATATCATTAAAAAAGGAGAGCGCTGATGTTTTTCTGGAAAACTCAGTATTTCGTTCTTCAGACTATTTCGTAGACCACGGAGCTGGAGGAAAGCCACGAACCTCCTGCTGCAGTCTAAGCTGAAACTTCATCTTTACACAGAATCATGGTGGTGTAGGTAGACTGACACTGTTTCTGTTTCGAACGCAGGAGCTGCCGAGCTGGATTCCGCTCGAGGGCCATCTTTGTCCTATTCATGATTCCCTCGAGCCACGGATTTATACTCCACATTGTTTGAAAGTGGGTTGCTCAGGTTGTAGAGCGTCGAAGTGTCAAAACCTATAGGTTGCGAGTTCAAGTCCCAGTCTGCGTCACTCGCCCTTCCTTCTTCCTTCAATAAATGATAAATGAGTATCATTCTGTACGAAATAAACAGGAAACCACATTCTACGCTTGCCATATGGCTATAAACTATGCCTTAAAAATACGGAACTTATGGTTAATGGCATAAAAATGGAGATCAGCACCGCACCATCAACTATGGAAAAGAAGGGCTCCAAAATGGCCTAATCAAGAAAGTGAAGAAGATTGGCATTTCAACGGTGACAAACCTTAATTTGCTGTGTAGATAAATTCTAGTGATTTTTGATGCTTGTGGTTCGTAAATAAATTATGGATACAAATATATTTCGTCCAATCTTTTTCTGCCAGTTATAAAACTGGCATCCTCCGGAAACTTGGATAAAAACACTGCTAAAGAATATACAGCTGGCCCAAAACGTCTCAGTCAAATTCGAGCCTCAAAGATATCCATGCAACCGCCTGAAAACACAAATGAGGGCAATGCAAAAGTTGTGCTATTTCTGTGTACTACTTCAATAATAATATTTCACAATAAAACAAGGGCAATATACAGTGTGCCACTGAGGAAACCATGATTATGAAACACGATTTGTTCTACCGAGCACCAATACGCATCAGGGCTACAAAAAGGACTGGATTCCTTTGCGCAATGAACTTCGCTTCAAAGACATATCATCAGGACGCAATATCATGGATTGATAAAACTTTCTGATTTGAACAGGACAAATCTGCTTTATTTGCATCAAAGGAACTGCTAACAGAATTACAAATCTGGCCTTTCGCAAAATTATCCTTTATCTCTGCCTTCTGCAAGGCGGCTCATGTATAACAGTCAATAAAACCAGTAACAGAGGTAATTATTCGCTACAACACACCTAGCATAACATTTTTTCACTTAATCATTTCGTAACTTCAATAAATGACGACAAAAATGTTACGAAGAAAAAATTTCCAAAAATAAATCCATGTAATCAATTATAGTTTTAAACCGTTCGAACGTCTAATTGAAACTTCAAACAGGTCAAATTGTTTAGTCGGAATCTGAGGGAACGAAGTTTAAATCTTGAGAATGTTTAGTTAACGGTTTTAAGCAACTGTGGGTATTCCACAGGCCTCCCTTCCATCATCGGTTGTTCAACAAACAATTAAGTGACTAATGGTTGATGGTCTACTGACTTTTTTCAGAGGCAGTGCAACCTTCAGGGGCATCAAAGGAACGCTGAATAGTGTCACTATTTCAGAGATGCAAACCGAGAAGAAATTAACTGATGAGCACGGCGAAAACTGATGACAATGTATATAGGTCCTAGTGACATTCAGTGCAAAAGGTTGCCAAAGATTCGCATTCAGTGGGAAAGTTGTCACTACTGGAGCGACGGCTCTAACCGAAATTAAAGCCGATGTGAAAATATGCTAAAAATATTAACTGTCTGTAAGATGGCGAAATTTCGACGGTAAAATGTAGTCCCACAACGGGTTTGCTCACATGCACGTTATGGCTTAAGAACTTCACCGAGACTGCCCCGAAAAAAAACCAAATGTTATGGCAGAGTTCCTCTAACATTTAAAGCGAAGGTTTAACCTACAGAAGATGATTAACAAATATTAGCATGCATGCAACATTCCTCGTCTTGCGAGCAGATTAAAACTCGGCATATCGTCAGTCTTTGTGGCGCAAACTGCTACACTATGAAGTACTGCAGATCTTCGACCTGCTGAAAGGACTGTATGAAAGTACTAAAAGGGCCATCAAAACAGAAAAGTTGTCGGACTGGTTTAACATCAGCAGTGGAGTGTGTCAAGGAGAGCTGATTCACTTTTACCTTTCAACCGGGTGGTGGATCATGTGATGCGAAGGAGCCTCGCACCCAACAAAAGCGAGGGATTTGTGATCAGATGACGACTAAGCCAAAGGCACCCAGCAATACTCAGAACAGATCTCGAGCAAGCTAACGACACTGTACTGCTGCGCGACTCCGCCAATATTGTACAGGAATTAACCGGACAAATGTGCTATGTGGCCTCGACGGTAGGTCTAGAAGTTAAGCCCATCAAAAAACAGACCATGTGAGCTCCCGACTCGACTAACGACTCAAAGATTCAATGGTGTCGAACGATCATCGAACATAGTGGAAACTTCAAGTACCTCGGCTCTGTACTGGCAACGCAAGGAAGCTGCGATATAAAAGTAAAGCGGCGCTTAGGCAGATGCGGGCACACTCTAAAATGCCTATACCGATCTAT